CTGGTGAGCCACGACGGCGGTTATCTTCGAGGTACGTAACTCGCCTGTAGCTGGTCTAGGATAAAAAAGGAACCACGTAACGGTGCCTCATTAACGCGGACGGATTCCACTTTGAGCGAGCTGGCTCAAAGGGTGGAGAAATAATTGAGACACGTCGGTAAGACGGGGACGCGGAAGGCTCTGGGTTAGAAACAGGGGTTGGAAAGAGTATACGGGGAACGGTCGTCTTCCGGCCACCGTAATCCACGTACTCTACTTGTCTTCTTTACCGCCACCCACCCCCTCCTGCTCGCCTACTGGGTTTTCTCTGCTCGGCTGATTTTTTCTCCAGCTAGCTTCGAACCCTTCTTATTTCCACAGACGACACCCTACGATGAACTCGAATGCATTCAACGCCCGAGTCTCCAACCCCCCATAGACACGCATGGTTCCGTTCCCCCCTAGGAGAGGAGGATACACGGAGGACCTAGAACGACGGAGAAACGTCGAGGCGCGGAGGGGGAGGGATTATAAAAGGAGAAAGATTTACAACCCTCGTATGAAATTCATACGCACTTCGCACCTACCACTGTCTACACTCTGCAGGCATCAAAGAGCCTCTTTCCCGTCTCTTTCTCTCTCTCTCGCTCGTACGTCTCTCCTATCAATACCACCCTACTCGCTCCCACCCACGCTACTTCTCCGCTCTCCGGTTGCCGGAAAGGACGAGGGGGCGATGGTGCGAACAAGAGATATCCTGCACTGTCGTAATCGAACGTCTCGTTCCTACTCGACGTCCCTTTAAAAAACCACCTGGGGGGCGAGAGAAGAGGCGCGACAGAGACCCCGGAGGAAAAGGGGCGCGAGACGTTCACGTTCGTGCGTCCAGGAAACGGTTGCTGCGACGACTCGAATCGTATTCAAACGTGGTTAAAAAATTTCCAATATATTTGGTATTTATAAAGTTTAGTCAAGCTGTATTTTTTTAGTACATTTTTGTACTTGGAAACGAACTTAACACCTGGTATTATTTCTATGTGATGGAATTTCGAAATTACTAAGTAATGAAGTTCGAACGAATGTTGTCTACCTGCTAGCTGTTTAGGCCCAACAAGGCGCGGCCACTGCAGATGAGAATGGCTTAAATACTACCAATCAGCGGTGGAAAGAAGGGGAGCTAAAGAGGCTTGGGGCCCCCCTTCCCCATCGAGCAACAAAATCTATTATCTCAATTTGAATCGCTCGAGCGAAACTCTAATATTTCTATTCCCCATTTATAATTTCTCAAACTTACTCTTGAACTCTTCTAACGACTCAATGATCGAAGTATTGGAAATAGTAAGTTTTGCGTTAAAATTTTGTTCGGTGAGTAAATCGAATCCCCGAAGAATTTAATCCCCGAGCCATGAATATTTAATACAAAGCACAGAATTCGCCGAGTCCCTTTAAAAACCCATCACCGATGGGGGTGAGGGAAAATGCGCGACAAAGACCGCGGAAAGGGGCGAGTTATGAACACGCCGTGAACATCGTCGCATTCAGGAAACGAGTAGCGGCGAGGAGATGGATCGCACCGATTGAGAACGAGTCCTTCGTGCCTAATAACCATCCCTTTCCGTTCGCGACACCATATCCGCGGGGTTGTTCAAAGGAGATTGCGCAGACTTTGCTGGCTCTCGTGGGGCAAAGTGTATCGGCCACCCCCTCGAGAGTCATCCCGTCGTCCTGACGGCGATGGACGCCGCTGCACGGAGGAGAAAAGTGTTACCGAGGGTCAGGAACGAACGTACTCGAACGATCTCCTAACTGAAATACATCTAAAATACACATACAATATTTACAGAAACGTATTCAATGCATTCTGGCGGTACTTTAAATTTGAATGCATAATAAAATTTGTAATTTCATAAATGTATACAAAATTTATTTTATGAATAAATAATGAAATTTGCAAAGTCCATAAATGAATAACAAATCTGTATTGTTACGAAGTTATTTGTTTTTACTTATAAAATTTAAAGGGCATCGCTTTAGTACATTTGTGATTTAATATGAAATGCAAATATATTTTACATTCGAAATGAAAATATTCTATACACTGTTCGTTCGACCAAAGCAATAAATAAAAGGTTCCCGTCGTTGAAATACTTTTTCAAGGACATTCTGCCCATCCCTGCCGTGGACTGCATCGGAAAAATTATTACCTGCCGTGATAATCCCGGAGAATTACGGTATATTAGAACCGTTAAGGGAAGGGATTCTCACAGGGGCGGAGGTATCGGACAATCGGTAGTGCTGACGCTAAAGTCTCCAAGGAAAAAAGTGCGAAGTAAGGGCGTCGCCACTTCCTTTGACTCTTTCCGGGAACGGAGCTGCAGGACCTCGATATTTACAACCACGATTGGCCCCCTTGCTCGAAACTTTTTACCAACGGACCTTTTTTCAAACGGGTTGTAAATCTGTCCCGTTGTGAACGGTTCTTTTTTAAACGAGCGCTAATTTTTTTTGGAGCAAAAGTTGCCATCGTTCCGTCGAGGATTTTTAAAGGATTAAGGGGGCCTTCTAGACTAGACCGGTGTTTGTCAAACTTTAGCTTCGGTTGGTTCTGATACAAAAAAATTCTGGACCGAACAACCCTTACAGTAGTATTGAATTTGATTTATTTAGAGAATTGTCGAATGGTTTCGTGTTTGTTTTGATTCGAACTTTTTATACATTATTTAGTGAGCAATATATAACAGAGGCATAAGAAGGGGATTTTTTTAGGAGACTCAAAAGAACCTGATTTTGGATAGCATGATTCTACCTGAAAATGCACAGTTAGATTTCAGGGAAAGGAAACTCTCTGCAACTGTTGGAATCGAGGTCGCGCGCGCCAAAGCGATTTTTCCCGTCACCCAATTTCACAGTTTATGCTAATTCCGATGTAGGGCTCGTTATTTATTCTAATTTATGCTGATCGAGGGGGTCCTGGGACATTGTCTCGCGGATCGGGAGGTGAAAGAAAAAAGTAGCGGCACTCAGGGTCAGGTAGACGCCTCATAATTTGGAGCTGGTAAGCCCGAGGACGCCCCGGAGTCCTAATCCGCTTGACGAGCCAGGACCTCGTCGATATTCCCCGTCGTAACGACGCTGCTGGAAGCAACAAAGCCCCTTCCGGTCTCTAAATCTCGTAAAGTGCGGACGTCATCGCCGGACGTCGATGAACGTTACTGCGTCTGGACCTCGTAAATCCATCGGCAACGCTCGAAATCGGGAAAACAAACAGACTTCGACTTCGACTTTGGGAAAGCAGCCCCGAAGGTGGAACGATAAATCTCCGGATCGAGGATCGGAGACTCCAGAATGGACGTGTCTTTTGATGGCCATTGCAAGACTTCATCAAACCTTGATTTGATGTGGTGCAAGTACAACGTGGTCTTGTCATGCGTTATTTTTCTCACAAACGTTGTTAATGTAATTTTTCAAATGTATACTATTTAATTTTGTTTAAATTTGTTTAAAAAAAGACTTTATTTTATGGATACCTCGTGAATGTAAAAATGTGTTGATTTTAATTTATAACTAGCCTCATGATTGTGAAACTAAACGTCAAGAATTGTGAGGAATCGGACACATTGTTGTTACGACAAGGGGTTAACAAATCAGTCTTCACTATTTTAAAACTGCGCTGCTATGCAAAGATTATGCAATTTATGAAGAAGAACTACATATACACTCTGATTTTGAAACGATTTTAGAAATAATCGACTTAGTTATCGAGGAAGGTATTAAAAAATTGTCGATTATCTCTAAAATCGTTTAAAAATCAAAGTGTATATGTAGTTTTTCTTTGTGAATTGCATGATTCGTTGGCTTGCAAACGTTATCGAGGGTGGTATAACAAAATTGTCGATTATCTCTAAATTCATTTCACAATCAAAATGCATACGCAGTTTTTCTTCATAAATTTCATGATTCGTATACCTATAGTAGTACAGCTTCAAAGTCACTGAGTAAAACATTGTGTATTCGAATCGTTTTACTACATCAAAAGATCGTCAACTCTGTATTAAGATTATATACGAAGCACCGAAGTACGAATATCAAAAATTGTCGATTGTCTCTAAAATCGTTAACATCGTGAAAGATCGTCAGGTTGTTGAATCCTATTTGACTGTCGGGGATCACCTAGCGCGGATTTACCGCGTCATTGAAAGGAATCGCGACGAGAGGGTATACGCGGAAAATAGGTTAGAACGCGGAGACAATATTGCACTCGCGCCCCCCAGTTGGATGGCGAGTTAACGTCCCCCGTCCAAAGGAGAGAAGCCATCGCTCGTCTCAAACGATGCCCGGGGTCGGGGAACGAGTAAAAGCATCGGAGTCTCGCGACTTCAAACGCCACGGTACGCGATACGGAATAGTCGAAGCGGACCCCGCGAGACGATCCTCCATCCTCTCGGGACGATTCCTCGTCGTTGACGTCCGCGGGCGCGCGCTAATGGCCGCCCCGCTCGACAACCGTCAGTCAGATAAGCCGTAAATATAATTCGCGGCTTTTAACGCTAGACTACGGCGTGTCGAAGTTGCCGACAGACCTGTTTCGGGTCGCCGACCCGACGATTAATAACGATTTTTCGTGCCGCGTCGCCCTACCTCGTCCGTTCTGCTCGCATCCGTGCATAACGCGCTGAATGGACGCGAGAATGAAAGTGCGGAAGGAGAACGTGAAAGAACGGGGGAGGTAGGGGGGGAGGGAGGGCGCGGCGCAGAAGGAGACGGCTTTTTTCACGGAAAGACCGCGAACGGAAGTTGCCAGGGGCGGCGCACCCTCGGTGGGTGGGCCTCGAGCTGAATTAAAATTGATGGATAGGGGCCAGACAGCCTCTCGCAATTTTCATCGAATTAACCCACCGTGCACGGACGCGTTACCCCCGCGAGTCCTGGCGGTCCTTCGCGCCCGGAGCCCGATTTCTCCTCTTCATCGGACTCGCCAAACCACCCCTCCTTCGACGCCTTTTTTTGCCCCCGTTACTCACCGTAATATACTACCCGGATCTCCTGTGATCGACGATTCCACCGGTAATTAATTTATGGAACGCGACTCTTCCCTGCTATACTATTCGTTCTCGTACCGGAGGAATTGAAATTTAACGTCCGATCCGCTCGGGGAAAAGGATCCAGCTTCTTCTTTATAGGTCAATGGTGCAACAAACTTCTCCAGGCACTGGAACAGAAAATTTCTGCGGTCAGGATGGATCGTAGACGAGAGAAATATAATACGGTGTTGAAAACTGAAGTTCCAATCGAAGGGATAACTCGTGAATTATTAATAATATTTTCTATACTTGATCGGTGAGAATACGTTTGCTTTTGGAAATATACACTTTCATCTTAATTTTTCTTGTAATCTAAATGTTGAAAGTTATTTGGTATAAAGAGAGGCGTAATTTCTTGCTATTTTCCTTTTTTATCAAATTCTTCTGCATACAAACGTTTTATTCTGACAGTTTTCCTTACAGGCACCATAAGCGAGGATCAATATCCCCCTTCTCAATACTATATTACTAAATTTAAAATAGCAATAACTTTAGAAGATTCTACATGCTTGTAAACATGGAAACTGAAGCAAGCAATGTGTGGAATTCTGATACACAAAAGGAGAATATTCAATGGAGAATATCTCGGTAACTATTCATTTCTGACCCCATACACCTTAATAATTTTGTATTCTATATTCAATACACTTTCGAATGGCATGATTAAATATTACACATTATAGTTAAAAAAAACTTGAAGTATCCTTCTCATTTTGATAGCAAAAAATTAATTATTGCCTCCTTATACCAAACAACTTTTTACAAGAAAAATTAAAGCGAAAGAATTGAAATACACCCTGTATTTTAAAATAAATTAAACTGCACATAGAACCACTTTCTTTTCGAACACACTCGTACCTAGACGATTCTTCAAATTTCTACCGGTTTATTTTACGCTTCCGTACAATGTTTGTATTTATTCCGAACGCTGCAGAGCGCTGACAAATGAATATAGCCATCGAGATAAATTAACGAAACGTAACGGAGGTCCGGATATAAGCAATCATCTTCTCGCCTCTGATCGCGAGTTAAGAAGCGTTTGGTCAGCAAGTGGAGACGCTCGCAATCGTCACCGTCGATAAACGGGAACTTCCTCGAGGCTCGTTCCTCCTGCCACGAAACGAGGAAGACTTTAAGTGGTTTATAATTATTCGCGCTCCAACTCCGCGGTTATTACGAACTAAATCCCAAGAAATTTTCGAAACGAAGGAGACCCGCGAGAGATCCCGGAATCGTACGCTTTACAAACACCTCGACCGTTCGTTGTTAGCGAAAGCTTAACGAGAAAAATTCTCGTCCAACGTTTCTCCGGCCATTGGAGAATTTATTCGAACTTGCAGTCGAACAACCCCAAGAGTATAGAAAATTTAGATAAGCTTTGATACTCGTAACGCGACAGGGAAAAAGTTTTCGAATCCGGCGGAAACTTCGCGCTATTTTTCGCTTAAAAATGTTGAACTTCGCGACAGGGGCGATACTCGGGATCGAGTGTCAACCTCGTTAGCATATTCCCGTGCAGAAACTTAACGCATCCTTTCGATTCGACTCGCTGATACGCGACAGTGACGACTTTAAATGATTTCTACTTCAAGGATAATTTTTTTCGAACGATTCGCGATCGTTAAAATGTCCAGCCTCGAGGCAGAAATATTTTGGATCTTCCTTTTATCCGTGAAATAATAGTCTTTTTCTCGCACGACGAGTCCGATATTCTTGAATGGACCGAACTGGCTTTAAGAGATTTTCCGGTTCCTTATCTTTCACAATATGATAGAAGGCGAAATTTACAGGCCACTAAAAAGTTTCTCTCGATCTATTCCTGAAATCATTCAGAATGAACTACGCAGATATTTTACTCCTTTGAACAAACGCGTCACGAGACTGTAAATATCGCTGTTCCTCCTGTTGTCGCTGCGATTAAACGCGATTACGTTGTTAGTCGTTTCACCAACATGTACCAAAGCAATTTCCCCCGATCGTTTAACGTACTTTCAATCGGGTAATTCATAATGTGCGTATTAACTCTGAATCGGGCAAGGTGTGGTTCGAACGACTCCGAGCTTCTATTATTGAAACTCTTAACCGAGTCCTTAACTACGTCGATTTAACTGTCTACGCGATTATATCGTTAAAATAAATTATATACGCGATATTCTAAACCTAACCACTACCAACAGAGAAGATTCTTTCGAATCGTATCCTCGAGTTAGGTCTGTTCACCCTCCGAGGTTCGAAACGCGTATTCGTTACGAATTTCTGGCGTCTGGCACCCGACGTTGCATAAATTACCACCCACAAAATTTATGGTAATAAGCTGCCAGGTCAGAGCGACTCCGCCGTAAACATAATACCCGAAATTCTTCGTCCTTGACGTTTTCTAATTACTGTCCGTCTTGAGTTCCAGGTACGTAATCCAATCAGTCATTAACCCGTGGCGACCGCACGAAAACCCGTGCACGACGCGAGTTAAAAACGTCCCATTAATTCCCATCGGTATCCTATTTCCCGTCGACGCTCAATTAAGTCCGGGTAAACAATGAGGATGGCTCGCGGTACGTTTTGCTCCCCTAATTTATGACGCTCGCCCCACGACAGAGGAAGTTCCTCGATAATCGTACGCCGTCGTCGTCGCGGGCCTCGCTTATTTTTTTCACCAGCTGGATTAGCTGTGATATCGGTCCGCGAACGACGAACGAAGGAAGGAAAGAAGAAGAAACGAAGGGGAGACCCGGAAAGTCTCGAGCGCGAGGCGTACAGGGCGCAAAAGAGAGCGGTTGCAGAAGGGAGGAGGTCACTTTATGCGTTTCTTTCGTCGCGGCGGTTTCGTTTGCAATAATTTATGCCGGCAGACAGCTTGAGAAATGACCGCTGGCTCCTTGTGCAACCTTAATTTGCAACAGTTTACTTCGGGACCGTTTTGAAAAATGGCTGCCGACGAGATACGAGGGCGCCTCGTTCCTGCCGGATCGCATAAAGACATTTATCGGGGGATCGACCATCGATGAGAAGCGAACGAAAAAGGAAGAGACCAGGCAGATACGGTTCTCTCGTTTGCTTCTCGATAATTGGTGCAATTAGCGATACGTCCCTGTGTGGTGAAAATCTTTATCTCGCGGAACATATTGCACCGGGAGGGGTATAAATCAGCTCGCGAAAATGGCGGACAATGTTCTGATTTTCCAGGTTAATTGGATTTATGTTGCACTCGTTGCTCGACTTTTTCGCGGTAAATATTACTAGAAATGATCACTCTGTGGTGGAGGACGTGGTCAACATTGTAGCTAATGAATATCGCAAGCATTCCAAACGAGCTCAGATTTACTGGATGGGGTCTGTCTCTGCCAGAAGGTTACAAGAAAGCATACAATTAGCGGGGAATTTACTACCCTGCTACCGTATTCCAGGGTTAATCCAATCTTCTTCCTTAAGTATTACACGGGAGTCCTAAGGATGAACGTTTATACTACCAACCCCGTTTGTCTGTAACCTACAAAGCAAATATGTTCTGAAAATCTCGATAAATATTACACATGCTACTGTAATTGTTTTAACACCCCCATTGGATTGTACACTTTTGAAATTATATTTTATCTTTTCCCTTGAGTCTCGAATGAGTTTGTGCAGCATTATTAGAACCCCGAGGAGAAATAGATATTGTCCAATCAATCCAATCTTCTTCCTTGAATATTACGCAGGAGTCTTAAGGGTACAAAGCAAATATGTTCTGAAAATCTCTATAAAGATTACACATGCTACTGTAATTGTTTTAACACCCCCATTGGATGGTACGCTTTTTAAATTGTACTTCAGCTTTTCCCTTGAGTCTCGAAATGAGTTTGTCCAGCATTATTAGAACCCCGAGAAGAAATAGATATTGTCGATTCCCTGGACACTCTGTGGTCAAAGCAAAGTGCAAAGAGGGGCCATTTCGTTTCCGTAAGTGGTCGTACGAACGGTAGATAAATGATCGAACGAAATCGATTTGGTCGTGGAACGGCTCCGATTGCCGCAACCGAAGAGATGACGAGGATCGTTGGATCGTCCGTAACCCCTGATATATCCTGTCGGCGTAAAGAGTCATTGAAACATTAAACTGACCTTTCCGGTTCATTGGATATATATATATCGGTCCGGGCATATAACCGTGAGACAATTACGCTGTAACGATCCGCGACCACGATCCATCAGAATTCCGTCACGCATCGTGAGCATAACCGTGATTCGATGAAATTCTCTTTCTGCCTTCCCCCACCCTCTCCCCACCCTCTCCCCTGGCGGCGATTTAAACGAGAGTATCAAAAATAACCATTCTCCCCCGGGGGACGATGAATTTCTTGGAAACAATGAACGGCGCCGTCTGAATATAAATTCGCGGCTCGATTTCCAAGCGTTTCGCGCGTTAAACGCCGCCACGGGTTCGCCGGACGACGAATAGACTGCGGATTTCGCGCTTTCGTGGCGTTCGCGGACACAAAAATCGTATGCAAAATGTATCCGGGGATGTATACGTTCGCGCAAAATGAAATATTAATGTTATTACGTTAATTTTGTGAAATATATTCAATAATACATTTTGCATGTGTTCCCCGTATTACCATACGTCCCATAAATTCGTGAAATCTGCAATTTTCTGATGAAAATTTTGACACAAATCGGGGACAATGTAATTTTCGTAAGCTGCATTGCATAAGTTAATATAATATGCTGCTCCCGTATTCCCTGTATAGAAAGTATCCTGGTTGTTCGAAAATTAGTTACAAACGTAGTGGTTTCATTATTATTGAAATATAATCACAGTGAAAAAAATTGAAATCTTAATCTTAATCTTGTACAGGCTGCCTGGATCGCAGCGACGTTAAATACATTTCCACGGACAAGCTGTAATTCCAATTATCGTTTAGATAAATTAAACGTTTACGCGTTGAAAGGTCGTACGCGGGGATGAGCGGTAGCGCTTTCACGATAAAATTCTCGATTACTTATTAAACACTCCGTCGTAAATCCAGCGTTTGCGAGGAACTGACGGAATTTGGTAAAAATCGCGAGACGTAGATCATCGTCCTGGCTAGCCGTTATAAATGTCTTGGGGATACGGCGGCTTGTAATATATTGCTGATTGCACGAAAGA